ACAACACTACATAAACTATTTCCATTGGATTAAAAAGTGTCATTTAAAATCAACTGGGAAAAAAAACAACAACACAACATTGGGTCTATCCATGTTTGACCCAACATCATGTCAACCCTATGTATCTGATGCAATTACATTATGAGCCACCTGATGAAAAAGCACTCTTTAGTGCCTTATTTGGATACTATCATATATCATATAATTCTCAGGATTTTCCACTATTTTTTTTTTTTTGGTAATCTGAAGTAAAGATGATATAATACAAATATAAATGCATATTAATGTTCATGTTTAAAAAAAAAAAAGCGAACTATTCAAAACTTTCAAGGATTTAAGATTATGATGAGCATAATCTTATGCTTATGAAAAGGGTCCACACAGTACACAGTAACCTAAATCCTACACTCTACAAAATGCTGGGTTGTAACTCAATGTTAGGTCAAATATCATTGGGTAAACAAGTGTCATTTCAATTTAATTGAAAAAAAAATTAACAACGCTGGGTTCGTCCATGTTTGACCCAACATTGTGTTATAACAACACTACATTTTAAGAGTGTATTCATGTAATAATTATATAAACTCCTTTTAAACATTTAATGCAGATAACCAAAGGAAATAAGCATTTTGAATTTTATGTGTTTGAGTTTTAAAAACATATCTAAGCATCTGAAGCAAATGCTTACTATATGTAATCAACTGGGAAAAAAACAACAACACAACATTGGGTCTATCCATGTTTGACCCAACATCATGTCAACCCTATGTATCTTGATGCAATTACATTATGAGCCACCTGATGAAAAAGCACTCTTTAGTGCCTTATTTGGATGCTATCATATAATTCTCAGGATTTTCCACAATTTGGTAATCTGAAGTAAAGATGATATAATACAAATATAAATGCATATTAATGTTCATGTTTAAAAAAAAAAAAAAAAAAAAGCAAACAATTCAAAACTTTCAAGGATTTAAGATTATGATGAGCATAATTTTATGCTTATGAAAAGGGTCCACACAGTACACAGTAACCTAAATCCTACACTCTACAAAATGCTGGGTTGTAACTCAATGTTAGGCCAGATATCATTGGGTAAACAAGTGTCATTTCAATTTAATTGAAAAAAAAATAACAAAGCTGGGTTCGTCCATGTTTGACCCAACATTGTGTTATGACAACACTAAATTTTAAGAGTGTATTCATGTAATAATTATATAAACTCCTTTTAAACATTTAATGCAGATAACCAAAGGAAATAAGCATTTTGAATTTTATGTGTTTGAGTTTTAAAAACATATCTAATCTGAAGCAAATGCTTACTATATGTAATCAACTGGGGAAAAAACAACACAACATTGGGTTTATCCATGTTTGACCCAACATCGTGTCAACCCTATGTATCTTGATGCAATCACATGCTTAGCATAAGCATTAAAACATCATATAAACTACAGATATCATACAAGTACAATAGATAAAAACACCAACATGCAGAACCCTGATGAAAAAACACTTTTTAGTGCCTCATCTGGATACTGTCATATAATTCTCAGCATTTTTCAGTGTTTTTTTTTTTGGTGTTTTTTTTTTTTTTTTTTTTTGTAATTTGACGCAAAGATTATATAATAAATTCATAAATGTTCATACGTTTTTTTTTTTTATTAAACTATTAAAAACTTTCAATGATTTAAGATTATGATGAGCATTAAACAGGTCATAACAGTCTTGTGAAAAGGGTCCATACAGTACATAGCAACTTAAATCCTACACTCTACAAAATGCTGGGTTGTAACTCAATGTTAAGCCAAATATCATTGGGTAAACAAGTGTCATTTAAATTTAACACAAAGTTTTTTTTTTTTAATTAACACAACATTGGGTTTGTCCATGTTTGACCCGACATTGTCTTATAACAATCCTACTTTTTTTTTGTGTGTCCATGTAATAATTAATAATGTATTATTTTATTCATTCAATCATTTTCTTTTTGGCTTAGTCACTTTATTAATCCCGGGTCGCCACAGCGGAATGAATCGCCAACTTATCCAGCACGTTTTTATGCAGCGGATGCCCTTCCAGCCACAACCCATCACTGGGAAACAACCACACACTCATTCTCACTCATACACTACAGACAATTTAGCCTACCCAATTCACCTGTACCACGTGTCTTTGGATTGTGGGGGAAACCGGAGCACCCTGAGGAAACCCACGCAAACGCATGGAGAACATGCAAACTCCACACAGACACGCCAAATGACCCAGCCGAGGCTCTAACCAGCGACCTTCTTGCTGTGAGGCAACAGCACTACCTACTGAGCCACCACGTCACCTATTCATTCATTCATTCATTTTCTTGTCGGCTTAGTCCCTTTATTAATCTGAGGTCGCCACAGCGGAATGAACCGCCAACTTATCCAGCACGTGTTTACGCAGCGGATGCCCTTCCAGCTGCAAACAATCTCTGGGAAACATCCACACACACATTTACAGACACACTTAAACTATGGATAATTTAGCCTACCCAATTCACCTGAATCGCATGTCTTTGGACTGTGGGGGAAACCGGAGCACCCAGAGGAAACCCACGCTAACACAGGGAGAACATGCAAACTCCACACAGAAACGGCAACTGAGCCGAGGCTCGAACTCAGCGACCTTCAGCAACAGCACTACCTACTGCACCACTGCGTCGCCCGCATCGCCTATTATTTTATTTAAACATTTAATTTAGATAACCAAAGTAAATTAAAGCATGTTGAATTTTAAGTGTTTGAGTTTTAATAATATATCTGAACATCTGAAGCAAACGCTTATGTATCTTGATGCAATCACATGCTGCATTTGCATTACAACACATAAACTACTTCCATTAGGTAAAAAGTGTCAATTAAATTTAATTGAAAAAAATAAAAATAACAACATTGGGTTTGTCCATGTTTGACCCAACATCATGTTATGACACCCTGACATTTTTTAGAGGGTCTCTATGTAATAATTAATAATTTATCACTCCTTTTAAACATTTATTTCAGATAACCAAAGTAAATATAAGCATCTGGAATTTTAAGTGTTTGAGTTTTAAGAATGTATCTGAACATCTGAAGCAAACACGTGTGTGTCTTAATGCAATAACATGCTGCATTTGCATTGAAACACTATACAAACTATTCATTTAAATATAATTAAAAAAACTAAATTGGGTTTGTCCATGTCTGACCCAACACCGTGTTAAAACCCTACATTTTAGAGTGTATCCATCAAATAATTTATAACATATCACTCCTTAATCACTCCTTTTAGAAATGTATTTTAGATAACTAAAGGAAATGTAAGTATCTTGACTTTAAGTGTTAAGTACATATCGGAGCATCTGAAGCAAATGCTTATGTATCTCGATGCAATGCTGCATTGGCATTAAAACACTATATAAACCATTTCCATTAGGTTAAAATGTGTCATTTAAATTCAGTTGAAAAACAATTAACACAACATTGGGTTTGTCCATGTCTGACCCAACATCGATTCAATGACAACCCTACATATCTTAATGCAATCACATGCTGCATAAGCATTAAAGCACCATATAAACTACAGATTTCATACAAGTACAATAGATTAAAGAGCCACCATACAGAACCCTGATGAAAAAGCACTCTTTAGTGCCTCATTTGGACACTATCATACAATTCTCAGGATTTTCCAACCATGTAAACGTAAAAACCACAGTGTTCCACAGGTGCTTAAGACAAATCTGCAGACAAAACCTTTGGTAACACTTTATTTTGATGGTCCATTTCAGTATTAGTAGACTGTCTGCTTAATATCGGTTGATACTGCTCCTTCAACAGACATTGAACTGACTATAAGAAACTTTGCAAGTACATGTCAAATTACACTAATCTTAACCCTAACCTAACAGTCCACTTATAATCTAACGAGAATTGGTTGTCATGTTGATGGAATGTAACTTACTTCAACAAACAAACCATCAAGATAAAGTGTGACCAAACCTCTTAAGTAAAACAAATGTTAATGATGTTTTGTTTTTAATTATAAGTTAGCTTTAGGATTCTGTTCCTCCCCTTTAAACTCAAGGCTGCTTAACTCAAAAATGATCAGAAGACAGAACCCGATGCTGCTTCATATACACAGCCTATTCAGTTACAATGCACAAGAAAAAAAATGTATTTCACACCATGCATAACCAAACACAACTACAATATGACGGATTAGTAAATGTATATATAGGCTAGTTTAAGTCAAAATGATTAGCTCTCCTGTGGATTTTTGTCAAATATTTCCCAAATGATGTTTAACAGAGCAGGGAATTTTCCATAGTAATTTCTATAATATTTTTTCATCTGGAGAAAGTCTTTTTTGTTTTATTTCGTCAAGAATAAAAGCAGTTTTTACATTTTTGAAGACCATTTTAAGGTCAGTATTATTAACCCCCTTAAGCAATTGTCTACAGAACAAACCATCATTATGCAATGACTTGCCTAATTACCCTAACTTTCCTAATTAACCTATTGTTAAGCCTTTGAAATTGCACTTTAAGATGAACACTAGTCATATATTAAGTACTGTCATCATGGCAAACAAAATAAATCACTTGTTAAACATTTAGTTAAAACTCTCATGTGGAAAATATCTCTGGTAAACAGAAATATAAACAGAAGAGCTAATAATTCTGACTTTAATTGTATTTTAAAAAGTAGTTTTATGCATCATCATTGCGGTAAAGTCTAAAATAAATCATGTAAACCCTCCACAGGCTCGAGCACGTTATAATAATACTAATACTAAACACACCTGCGCGGTATAAACAGTTAAAATACCGGGTTAAGTCCTACTTCAGGCACTGTCGGGGGCTAAAACCCGCGTCCCGTAAGTTGCTCCTACAAGCACAAATCACCAAAACGGCGATTCTCCTCCCCGTGTCTCTCAGCAGAAAGGTGTGTATCATGTGGAGGGTAAAGAAGAAGGAAACTTACCTTGCGGGTTTCTGCTGGCAAAAACACCGGCTGGACCCTGGACAAAGGCGACCAGAGCGACGCTGAATAATCCAAAACCAGCGCGCATCAGAACATGCATGAACATCATCGCAAAACACAAAAAACACCTTGAATCTTCAGTGAGACTGGCGAGGAGGTTTTTAAAAGAGGGCAAACTGAGAGAGTCTTGAGTCCAGACGTGGATGTGCGGTATTCCCGGGTGTTCGCGAGCGAGAGAGAGTGCTTTATTTGTTGGTTTTGCGGAGACTGAGTGCGCGGAGAACAGGAGGAGAAACACGGTCGACTTGAGCACTCATGATCTTCAGGAGACACAGAGAGAGAGGAGAGAGAGAGAGAGAGAGATAGAGAGAGAGAGAAAAAGGGGGAGGAGAGACGCACAACAGCGCGCTCTCTCTCTCTGATTGTTAGTCGATGGATCTGTATTGGTCAATCCTAAATGGCTAAATTAAAAGTTCCAAAAATTACTGATCACGACAGATTAGTCCGTAACACTTTAAATTAATAGCCGATTAGTAAGTGTCTACTAGTGTAAATATAAATAGTATATTAAAATTATTATTGTTAGTTAATAGTTTACGTATTTTGTGATTCACAAATGTTTTCCGTTTATAATTGCATGATGGGATGTGGATCCCATCATGCAAGCTTTAATTGTGCTTTTAAAAGCTTTTAAAACTATTGTGTTTAAATAGTTTTGACAGAGGGATGTGAATCCCTCTGTCGATTTCTGATGTTGAAAATTCAACTCTACAGTTTAACAAAGCTACTTATATTGGCATTTTAGGCTAATATAAAGTACAAGAAATAATATATAAAGAAATAAGCCTGTAAAATAGCAGAAAATATCATCTTAGAAAAAAAGGTGGTACAAATAATGTTCCTCAAGGAACAGTTTTGTACCTTTGTAAAAGTTGCACCCAGTTCAAGAAAATAGCAATCTGTCCAAGTTTTACACTTAAAACTGTGGCCTTTTGTCATTATAGGCAAATAACAAACTGGCCAACACATTCAACTTTCCACAGTCTGAGAAATTTGGCTTTTTGTATAATAAAAATTAAATTAACATAATAACAATATTTTAGAGCTTCATAATTTTTCTAGCTTCTCTTGTAAAAAAAGTATTTCAAAATTCATGGATAACAACAATAACCTAACAAGTAATAATGTGAGCTTTTAATGTTTCACAACTTTTCATTGTTTATTTTTCTTTGAAGAACAAGGTACAAGATTTAGAATAAAAGAAATGTTTTCTCTATAACAACAATGGAGTGAAAGTTGACTTTACTAGCATCAGATAATGCTTGGTCTTAAACCCTTTTTCAATAGGCTATTTAGATAACTTGTTATAACATTTCGATTTTAATCTAGACTTGAACCCAATAATATCAATGAGACCTATTACATTTGAAATGACTGAGTATAAATGCAGCAAGAGTTAAAGAATCATTACACTAAAAGCTCTCAGCTGAAACGTTTGTTATTCTTTTCTCCGGTTGTTTAGTTGATAAATTACTGAGTCCGCACCTACTTGTCATAATTTGTTATTCAGAAACAAATAGAGGGTACAAAAAAAATGGCAGAAAAAAACCACCGGAATTAATGGAGCTTCTTGTTAAATGACACCAAGATTTCTGCCTTATGAACGTCTCCAATTTTTTCATTTATTTTATGCTTCCCCTTCTCTCTTCCTGATGCATAACCAAGCAGCAACCTCCCGCTTTCCCTCGTGAAGCAAATACAGAAAAAACAAACTGCAATTCAGCGAAATTCTTATAGTCCTGGCTCCATAATAGATCAAATTTCTACTGAGCCCACTGTAAAATGGCCAACTTTACAGCAGAAAAAAGGAAAAAAAAAACACTTTCGACCTGGTACAAAGAACGATTTTGGTTCATATAGATAATGTTACCCTTTGTGACAACTGTGAGGGGGGGGGGGGGGGCGTGAGGGGCGTGGCTACTTGAGTGACAGCTAAGTCTCGCTGGTCAGTTACATCCTCTCCGCTGATTCCGGCTGATTAGCTGCTGAACTTATACATGAATTTTTTGTGTGGTATTGGTTTTACACAGTCAGTTGCTTTTTGAAATTATTTCTTACAATTATTAGATGATATGGCATGCTGTGGGCACTTAATTGTGCTCCCAATCCATTCACGTGGCCTCCATTTCCCAGGTGAGTGAAATTATATACTTATACCATCTCCATAAATGTATTTGTTTTATTTAAGATTATTTATCTTTTAGGCTCTATTGTAGGCTCTAGACCAGGGGTTCCCAAACTTTTCAGGCTGCGACCCCTGATATGACGATGCCAGTGACTCGCGACCCCCAATATCCTGGCTATGAATACAGAAACCTTGCATGCAATGTCACACACACACACACCAATACACCCAGGGATATTCTTTGTTTAATGTCAGTGCGGTAAATGGCCCAGAACCTTTAACCTGGTGTTATAAAATCAATCTGCTGCATCTGACGCTATTGCTGTGTCTTTAATATAATGTAATTACCACTGGGGTCGCAATCCAATAGAACTAGTAACTATAAGCTACCATAGTATCTATATAGTAATTATAAATGACTTTATTTTTTCTCTTCTGTAGGTTATGGATAAAATATGGTCATTCTTATATGATTTAATAATAATAAATAGACTTTTTTAAAATAACCAGGCGACCCCCCTTCATTGTCCCGCGACCCCTCGAGGGGTCCCGACCCCCACTTTGAGAACCCCTGCTCTAGACGGTCATCTGAAGCATTGTCATACAGTGTTATGCCTGGATTTCATAATTAGCCTTGCATTTACTAACACAGACTATATTTGGAGTGTTTGGAAGCAATTCACGCTTTCCTCCTGTAGAAAAACTCTCAATGTATTACAACAGTGTTTTTAAAAGGCTAAATACTTTCTTGATGTAGTGTACAGCCAAGTACATGTGGTCAGAACACAAACGAGTTGCAGGTAATGATGTTTTAAGAGTTTCTCCCAAAGAAAATCCGGTCTAAGCAAAATACTAGCAGGCGTCTGTAGCTCCACTCACGCTCCGCCTCTTTGCCCTTGTTTGGTTTCCCCCAGTCGGTGCGATGACGCACGAACAATATGGCGACGGTTGGCCACGCCTACTTGTAGCTTCGTTTGCGTTCTTCAGAACCCTATGGATGACGTCACGGATACTACATCCATATCTTTTACACTACGTGCGTAACATTTCATTTTTAATTTAGACTTGATCCCAATAATATCAATGAAATCGGTCACACAATGGAGGACAAAACCTGCACAAACAATAAATAAATAAATCCGCAAATGAATGCATGAATGAATAAATTAATCCACAAATTCCTGCATAAATAAAACAATAAATAAATAAATAAATGTATAAAGAACGAATAGTATGGTCAGATAAATAAATTAAAATCACACGAATGTGGTGTAAATAAGAAAATGTTAAACTGAAAGTTGATTTTTTTCCCTCTTTCAAATGTTGGTTCATTTTTAAAATGTACAGTAGATCTGTAATTATTTTTCCTCACCTCAACATGCTGATTAGGAGGTGTCTGTCAATTTAAATATAGATTTGTTATTTTGCATATTTATATTATGCATGGATTTGCATATGTATAATTCATTTATTTGCACCTTTATTGTATTTGCAGGTTGCATCCTCCATATAACACAGCTCACACCTGTAATGATTGAGCATAACGCCTGATTCACACAGGGCTTTAGCGTCATCGCTACACAGAGGGCGTGTCTGAAGTTGGGCTGACGCGATCGTCATAGTAGCGTCAGCCAATGGAATTAGTGAGCAATAGACCACTGTCTGAGCTGGTGTATTTGCATAAAGTGATCTGATTGGCTGATGCTTCCGTCGGCGCTTGAAAAGTTGGGAAAGTCCAAACTTCTGTAGTGAGCAATGCCACTGAAGCACACAATGCAGTTCGGCAATGCCTGATATCACCCATTCATAGTGATTGGGAAGCATTGACGCTGAATGTGTGAATGGGGCATAAAGAGTTATAGAATCATCACACTACGAAAGCTCTCAGCTGAAACGTTAGTTGTTTTTTTCTACTGTTGTTCATTAAATAAATTACTAAGTGTAGACCTACTATGGTACTCATTTGCCATTCAGAAAACAAATTGAGAGGAAACAAGTACAAGAAAGAGGCGGCACGGTGGTTCAGTTGTTAGCACTGTTGCCTCACAGCAAAAAGGTTGATGGTTCAAGTCCCAGTTGGCATTACTTAAAATACCAAGTTTTGGCATCAAAAATTTAAAAGGTGTGTTTAACTTACTCATTACGCCAGCAAAAATACTAAGTTCTCTGAAAAACGATTATTTATTTATTTAAACAATTCACCATGTCTCTGTTTAAAATGATTGGTTGCACTTGAAATTCTGCCTTGACAACCGCGCTGATTGGACTGAATTTTGCTGAAGCGCAGCAGGACAGAGGCACGACCTGAACCCATCTGATGAAAGAGAAAAGGGACTAAATTACTAGATATTTAAATGCTTATATTCATTTTTTCTTAATTGATATACACACAAGGGCGACACGATATCGCAGTGGGTAGCAATGTCGCCTCACGCAAAAAGGTCGCTGGGTCGAGTCCCGGCTGGGTCAGTTGGCATTTCTGTGTAAAGTTTGCATGTTCTCCCCGTGTTGGCGTGGGTTTCTTCCGGGTGCTCCAGTTTCCCCTACAAGTCCAAACATATGTGCTGTAGGTGAATTGGGTAAGGTAAATTGTCCGTAGTGTATGTGTGTATGTCCTGGTGCTCCAGGTAGGAGGTTGAGCATTAGGCTAATGACCCACCTTGTATTAATTCTAAACACCAATATGGTGCAGCTAAATATAAACTTCGATATAAACGGCCCTGGGAGTAAGTTAGTTAATATAAAAGCTGAAAAATGTTAGAATTTTAGTCTATTAGCCATTTTAAATTATCTGTAATTAAACATTTAAGTTAATTCAATAAAGAGAGCACATTTGATTAACTCAATTAATTGAGGTGTTGATTTCCCATTACTCAAACGAACTGAGGGAATCACTTCCCTTAAATCATTTGAGTAGTCTCAACTTATCAGGGTTTATAGTGTATAGGTGAATTCATGGCCGGATTAACGTAAAGGCTGAAGCCCCAGGGCCCACGGCACTTGATTGGCTAAAGAATCAATTTGCACTATGACGCGGGAAAAGTCTCTTTGCTTTATGCTTTCTCTCGTTGATAATGTGAAGTTTTCCTTTCGGTTCACTACTGTTTAAATACAGTTACGTCAGAACTAAACTGGGGCCCAGAGTGGCAG